TTTTCTTCAAATGAAAGAAATTGTGGTTATAATTTTGTGTATTAATCTTTGCCGTTGTGTTCACGTTTTTTACCAAAAGGATTACGATTTCTTGATTCATTTATGGCTTCTTCGCAAGTTGCGCTTTTTGCTATAGCAGTATCAGTATATGTTGGCGATGCTATCCTTTGCAATCAATTCAATAAACTCTATGTTCCAGTGCAAAATTCCGCGCAATATTTTCGACCCTGCCTTCACCATCCTGGAACCTTCCATAATTATATTGAGTTTGTGCTTCTTCAAGTTTTAGTCAGCTTATCTAAATCTGTCAAACTAACCAAAACTTGTCTCTGACTTCTTCTTCACTGTCGGTTATAGAAGCGTATATATTTACCAAGTTGGTATTTACTTGGCTTGTGTGTATTTGAATCAAAATTATCATCTCATTTAAAGGTACGAAGTGCGCTCTTCATCATAATACTCACACCATGTTAATTTTTTCCTGAGTACCAGAGCGCCATATAATGATGTATGCAGTGTTATACATTTGGTATCGCATTTCGCTGAGACCAGGAGCCTCTGTGCATCCACCTATCAAACCTTTCTTTCTCGACTCGAAGCTTATATACTGTTTGAATGGAGCGGAGCTAAAGGAGGGGCATGAATATTATCTCGGGTAACTGATTCTCATATTGACTTGACTCACGGTTAAGATTGTTTGGTTGTTTCGAGATTTCTATGTATTCTCGGATTTTTGTTTGGTAGAAGAAATATCGAATAAGATTTGATATCCGGTTTCATGATTGTGTTCGGCAACTGCTAATGAGTTTATTTGTCAAAGTCTTGTAACCATAAACCGCATATGCATAACTGAAATGGAAAAAATTCATCGAATCATAATAATCTAGGGTTAGCGAATAAAACAAATAGATAAATAAATAAATAAATAATGATAAATGATAGGCTTGTATAACGCATTGATTTGTGACGCCTCAAACACAAATCACTATCAAAGTTAGAAAGAATAGTCCAGCAGACGATAAATAATCATGACTTGCCTAGCCTATCACAACCGAAAGGTCCTTTACATTAGAGAATACGCCAAGAAAAAGCCAATTCACAAGCGTCTATCAAAACACTGTGTTTATTTTACTAGTGTCGATAAACTAAAAATTTGAAAATCATTGCTTGTCTTGCCATTGCCATTAGTGGTGTTACAATCATTATTTGTTATGCTTAGACCGAAGAAAATTTCGACCACAGAATGCAGGAGGGTAATGGACGAAAAAGAAAATACTATTTGGATATGTGCTGCAAGTGAATCGTTTTAGGAGTTACATAAAATAAAATTCATATGATATTTTTTTTTCTTTATTATCAAACAATTGCACATACTGTTTCTACGTATTGAAATTATAAAAAGCTGAGAATACTAATAATTTATATTTTTTAGTCAAAATTTGTCTGCAGATTTTCTAGAGTGCACGTAAGCTGCCACTGATAGGACATTAGAGTGGACTTGCTTTGCAAGGTCAACATTGATGCAATTCTTTGATAATGATTCACCAGAAGAAAGGCATAATGTAACTGTTGAGCTGAGTAGTTGCAACAGAAGTTGCTCGAGGGAAGGCTGGGTTCCAAACGCTTTGCGACTCTCAGCAAAAAACACTATTACTACTCATTAAACTACCATCAGGACATGACAAGCGAATTTCTTAAAAATTGGGAAAAAAATTCTCTTGTACCGAAACAGCGTAACAGTTTATGATAATGGTGCTACTACAGCACCAAAGACGGGGAATTTCAAGAGTTCGTTTGTCATAATTTCCTAAATTTTGAACAGACATATAAAACAGCAACTAGTTGAAGTCTTAAGAACCAAATTAAGAAAAATCAAAAATCCGGCAATGTGCACCTTGTCACTGCGATTTGAATCCTATAGAAATAATTTGGCCAATTAAAAAATATAGATGAAATAATATAATTCCAAAAATGTGCGCCCATGTAATTGATGTAATTAAAACTTAGTGTGAATTAATACCAAAGAGCATATGAGACAATTTAAAATCATTAATTTTATCTTTGCATGGTAGTTATACTACAGATTCAAGATATTCTGGGGACTTATATAATATGTATTTATTTTTTATATAATTACAACTATACAGTATATTCAATTGCGTTTTAATTTCCTTACCACTACCATCGAACGGTCTAATTACCTATGTTAATAGCCTTATTTCAGTCATGACCATTTATTGGGTGACTATAAGAAAAGAAAAGTAACATTAAATAATACTAATTTTAATAATAATAAAAATAATAAGTTCTTCGGAAGGCCCAAATAATATTACACCCTGGTTAATGACATATTTGTTGTTGTACTTGCTTAGCAAACTTTTACAGAACCGTAACTGCAGCAAAATCTAACCGCATATTCAACAATCTTCTAATCTCCAACAAAATGTGTCCCGATAAACAGAAAGGTTGCAAAAGGCTAGCCAGGAGTTGTAAGGACCAGTAGAAAAACAAATGCGAAATTTGGGTTTAGCGTCGATTTGCTAAAAGAAGGCATTTGATAGTATTCCTTACTCCTGGATAACCACTATTTGAATCGCAGATTAGGCCCATGATAACACAATTTGTGAAACAATCGATGCAGTCTTGTAGAACAAAAATGATGCTGATTCATGGTGATGCAAATATCCTAAAAAAGGTAATAAATATTTAGAGGTGAATATTCCACGGTGATTCCTTATTCCTTGACTTTTCTGTTTAGTGTTAATCTCCGTGACATGTTAAATAAGCAGAGTATAGGGAATCGTACCGATCGTGACATATAGTTTTGGCACTATTGACTGGTTAAGAAGGGAGATTAATAATGATCCCACCCGAGGGCAGATCTAAGTAGGCTGTATATCAAAATGACGGGAGGGAACTTCAGAATCGGATCTAGATTGAAATGTTTTCGAATTTTTCAAAAGAAGGAGATCTTGCAAAAACGCAACATAACAAAATGTGCGAAGTAGGACCACTCCCGTAAGTTCTTTCTTAAAATCGATATTACGAGCTTAGAAACCCTTAGAAGTGTTTTTTTTTGCGGTACTTACAATAAATACGCAGTCATGGCATTTATCGTCGCTGATCATCACTGGCCTATTATAAACGGAGGGCCCTTTACCCGCAATAAACTTAGCAATGCACGCATAAAAAGCCGATTCACAAATATTTATTACAATAGCGAGGAATTTTTATTTTACTAGTATCGACAACTTAGAAATTTTAAAATCATTTGCGATTAGTGATGTCACAATCATTATTTGTGATGCTTAGACCGGAGAATATTACGACGCCGGAATGCAGAAGAGTAAAGAACCAAAAAGAAAATACCATTTCGATATGTGATGCAAGTGAATAATTTTACGACTATTTGAAGATAAAAATCATATAATACTTTGTTTTTACTTTTTACAAAACTTCTGGATTCCTCCTGAGTCGGTTGTTGCTGAGTCGAACTTGCTGACGTTTCGCTAATCACCCTGTTGGTTTCTTCAGAGTTAGACTAAAGCTAGCTCGCATTTTTACTCTGTACTTGCTTATATACCGTTTAAGAGGGGCGGAGATAAATGAGGGGCATAACTGGAACTATACCTGCTTATAGATTGTGGTTGGGTGCCAAATGCTTTGCTACTTGCACCAAAAAGCATTATTACTACTCATTAAACTGCCATCAGGACATGACAAGTGAACCAGACAGCGTAATAGTTTATGATAATGGCTTTTATCACAGTATAGAAGCAAAAAGTACCAACGATCAGAAGCAACAAAGGGGTATTTCGAGAATCCTTTAATCAGAATTTCGTATATTTTGAACAGACATACACAAAAAAACCAATTTCGTAGACAAGGTCATAAAAAAATCCGGCAATGTGCACCTCATCATTGCGATTTAAATCATATAGAACTGATTTTGGGTCAATTAAAAAACATAGTTAGACGCAATAACAAAATTTCAAAAACGTTCGCCCATGTAATTGATGTAATTAAAACTCAGTGTGACTTAATACGAAAGAGCAGATGAGACAACTTAAAATCATTTGGCATTAAGGCATTTGATAATATTCCTCACTCTTGGATAACCACGGTTTGAAAAACAGATTAACCCCATGATAACACAATTTGTGGAACAATCAATGCAGTCTTGTTGAACAAAACTGATTCTAGTGATGCAAATATCCTAACAAAGGTTATAAATATTCAGAGATAAATATTCAAGGGAGACTCTTTGTCCTAGGCTCTTCTGTTTAGCGTTAATCTCCTTGACATGTTAAATAAGTAGAGGATAGGGAAGACACTGAAATCAATCATCTATTTGATATGGACGATCTTAAATTTTTCATTAAGGGCAAAAACCAGCTATAGCAAGTGGAAAAGTTCAATTACGATTTTAAAGATGGAATTTCACCTGATAAGTGTGTTACAGCAATTTACAAGCTTGACCTGGCTTGGCTTGGCTGGACGATATGATTATCAATAAGAAATTTAGACCTAAGTGGGCCATAAAAATATCTTGCCTTTAAAGGGAGAGATGGAATAGATAATGATAATACGAAGAAGGCCGTATGAATATTATTGTCGCGCGTCAAATTTCAAACAGTTAAGTGCAAAAAATGAGATCACATCGGTACCGATGGTGACATCTAGTTTTGCAATTATTGACATTAACAATTATCCCACCCGAGGGTATGTAGACTGTATATCAGAATGAAGAGAGAGGACTTCAGATTCGTATCTACATTGAAATCTTTTCGAATTTTGCAGAGTAAGTTCTTTCATAAAATCGATTTACCCGTTTAGCAAATCTTAGAAATGTTATTATTTTTTTGCGGTACTAACAATAAACGCGCAGTCATGGCATTTATCGTCGCTTTTGTACGACTCATGGATAAGAACTTTTCGAGCGCGCATACCACCTTACTGGTATATGGAATGTATATATGTATATAATCGTTTTAGTTGTATTGACCGGCGGTTAAAAAAGCTTCGTAGTGTGCGATTAATCGCCAAATTGTCCGGCTATGCCGCGCGCCGCTTGGTAATTATTTTTGCTGAGTCCGCGTATGGTCGGCATGTTGGCAGCTTAGATATCGGTAATCGAATTAGAATCGATAATTGAAAATTACAATCTTTTCGTACGAGGTATATCGTAATAAGAAAATCGCAATGCCCGAAAAACGGGATTTTGCCACACTGTTCCAAGGTACCAGCCCGCAGCTGATAGCTGTTCTCACGGGTAAGTAGCTGAGTGATTGCCAATTTATATTCCGTTTTATATTTCATTTTAATGAATTCATTAATGGTAACAGTTATTTTGAAATTTTACTATGAATTTGCAATTTGGACCTGTTTATGAGGCGCCCACTACCCAGAAGAGATTGAAATCCAGTAAAATGCAAAATGTGATTGGCTTAAATTCAGTCCACTATCAAATTTTTATTTGAAATGGAATACCCTGTATATGATACTCATGTAAATAAACAATCATTATTGACCTCATATTTAAACTGATTACTGGCAGAAATTTAAATATTGTTTCAAATTATCTTTTCTTATAAAAAACTATACTGTTGTCGTTTATTTATTTTGCAAAATTTTCAATTTTTGTATGAAAAAAATCTTACACTGTTGCTATACTTCAGCATCTGACTGAAAGGTGAATTCAACGATATCTAATTTGTGGGATCTGCAAAGGATCATTTCTGAATTATTGGTCATCATCTTCAGTACGAAGCCTATTTTCCCGTTTCAAACATGCAGCGTCAATTCTCCAATAGCGATGAACTCCTGTCTAAATCAGGGTGTTCCAGAAAATATAATAAATGAAAAGTCCAAATTAATGCAAGCAACTTTTATGTTTAACTTTTTGTTCAATCTCTTGTGTTGCTGAGATTAGGTGGTGGTGCCTTAGAGATATTACAGAAATGGATTAGCAAAATAGTATACACAACAGTGATGCTCCTTTTTAAAGAAAATAAAATAAAGATGGTTCTGACACCAGAGGAACCCGATTTGTCAATATGTTCAATCGCAATTGCTCAGTGCTTGTGTAGCAGATTATATTAAGCATTTAACAATTTTCTAAGACAGCTGTTTAAAATTAGGCACGTAAAAATAGTAGTAACTATTTGTTGAAATGCGACAACTTTTTGAAGAAAAAACAGGTTTGATCAGTTTAAATTAGTCTCCTGTAACAGATTTTTTTTGTAAATTTGCTTTAGTGGATGTTCTGCACATTAGTGTGTTTCTGTGGCTTTCTAATTCTTTTCATTATTATCAACACAAAAAAAAGAGAAATTATCTATACAGATTGATCAATGATTAAAAAATAATTCATAAAAATAGTAACTATGCTTTGAGAAAGACAACAAAAATGAAATTTTAATTAAAACGAACCAATCAAAGGCAAAATCGAGTTTTTAATCACCTTCACTCATAATTTACTCATATAAAAAAGCATAAAAACATTGTTGAATAAATTTGTCTTCATGTTTCCTTCATGTTCAGTCAGCGCATATTTTTCGTTTACATAATTTATTAGACAGTGGAGGCAAGAGCAATTCCCAATATTAGAAAAAGTTTAGTACAGTAGCTAAACTGTTGCAAATGTTGTTCTATTCGTTAGCCTAGTTTGGTGTTTTCCATTTTTTTTATTACCTGTAACGCTGATTTGACGAAAATAGCTTCAATAGTTATGTTATTTAGTTCAATTACAAAAAAAAAATGTTTAAAAAATCAATCATTGAACACTACCCCCAACATTGATGCGAATTCGTCAATCAACGCTTCGCTACGTGTCCGAAAATGAAAACACTAAAAACCTTGAGCTTAATTCGTTTGAAACTTCAAATAAAAGTATATGTTGGTCATACCGCAAAATTTAATTGCTGAATTTGTTCTACTAATGGCCTATATCTCCTCGGTGATTTTCTTGCCTAGCAGAAATTTTTGAAAACTATGAATACTAGAGTTAATCTTTACCTCGAGCTACCCGAGGGATTAAGCTACATAAGATACATAAGTTTTATGAAAAATGGACCCCAAAATTGATTATAAACTAGCTGGTTGTTGCCTGCATGAAAAAATGGCAGATAGATATCTGATGAACCGAATAGAGTTCTGAAAAAACAAGACATTAAATTCGTTACTAGAAGGCAAAGGAACCGGTGCCATTTTTGTCAATATAAAAAAAATATGGAATAACTGTGCAGAAATAGAGAAACACTTTAAGAAAAAGTTTATAAAACAATCTTGTACTTGTTTATTGATATACCTTTTTCCTTACATTTGTATATTTAGATACAATAAAAATAATTTACTTTGACTTTCTAGCTTACTTTCAGAATTTTAGATACTTTTATCGGAAAGGTTTTGAAACATCCACACTCAACAAACTCACAAAACTGCCCATTGCATAATATGTTATTATGCAATGGCTATTCTATAATTGAAGTAAAATAATTTCTAAATGGTAGAAATTCAAAGGAAAAAATGTTAATATTATTATTCGATATTATAAATTATGACAGCAAAATTCAAATTTTAGGTTTATTTTTAAAACATGAATAGGTAAAAGTTTTAACCAAAAAAGTGAGAATTTTTACTAAATCTGCAATAGTCTCAGTATTCCAAACATGGTGATATATGTATATTAGGATTTCCAATTTTCCGCTATTAAAATAAAGGAGACATGGGTAGCATTTTTTGGATGCCACTGTAGTACTCATTAAAACATACAATTTGTGCGCCGGAGTAAAATTTTTAGGCAGTTAAATTATATCTTAAGTCCATTTCAATAGATATAGCAATAAAAAATTCTAGCGACGAGATTAAATCTCCGATTAAACATACTTCCATTAATAATGTTTCTTAAAAAATATTAAATAAAAAATAACAAACAACACAGAACCTAGGAAATTACTAAACTGCTAAGTAGAATACTTAAACATAAGAAAAAAAAATCTGCTTTTGGAACAAAAAACATATCTAAATTTGTACTTGATTCATAAAATTTCGAAAAGTAATCATGTATATTAAAAATCCAGTACCTACTCCGCTTGTTATTTTAATTTAAATTTAAAATCGTAGTGAAGGTTTTGAAAAATAAGTAGGCATTTTTCACCAGCAATCAACTTTTGAAAATTTAGATTTTGTTTTTAATTACATTAAAATTCTCTTTCAATTTTAATTTCTTCAAAGAGTAATTTCATACTTAGATTTAGTTTTCTTGCAGTTCGAGCGTTTCAATAATTTGAACCAAGTCACTAAATGCTGGGCATTTATTTTCTTGCAAAGAAGGTGAATGATATAAGAAAAACTAAAAAATTATCTTTGCAAAATTTAAACCATTTCTTTAAGTAACTACCGGAAATTTCCGGGAAACCTACGAAATCATTCTTTATACAGACTGTTTCGTTGAGCTATTGATTTTTTACCTGTCAACTCAAAATAGTTTTAAAATAAGAGTAGAAAAAACACACTTAGTATATTTAAATACTTCTATAAATATTAATCCAGAAACAAAAGGCAACCAGCAAAATGCTCTTGCCTCTGGATAAAAAGGACAGTACATATTCATATACGTATGGTGACCGATTTGAAATTTTATGTTACGTTTGGCGCTTTCAATAATCGTATAATTAGAGCGCCCAGACGTGTGTACTTTTAGCTTAAAAATAGAGAATTTATGGATTTTGTGTTTTTTAATTTTTGGTAGTTAATTATATTAGCTTACACTTACAGCCCTTTGATACCTTTCCAAAGGTCAGAGGACCATTTAAAAATGAGTGACTGTCTTTTGCAATAAAGGTCGTTTACCAACCCTAATGTATACCTACTCTATAAACCCGGCTTAAACGAATATCCTAGGAATAAACATAAAAAAATTTATAGCCTTAAATTCATGAAACAATTTGTTCGTCCTCTCATCGTCTTTTCGTATTTGCAAAAACTTCCATCATCACACAACTTCGATTAAAAATTATAAAAATTAATGAAATCGACAACCAAGTAATACAAAATGATGAATATTTTTAAGAGAATTTAATACTAAATGAACCAACCACACACACGAGGTTAAGATTAAGTTAGGTGCAGATAATCAGTTATAGTTGGCGTATTACCTTTCGAATGTTACGTCACGTATTTTAATAATTATACTAGTCTTCATTGAAATGTGGCCACTATCTCAATTGACAGTCCTAAGTTCTTTGCTTCATTTGTAAATTTTCAGATTTTTATTTTTTAATTGAATTTTAATATGATCACACAAAAAACTATAGCCTCCAGGGGGAGCCAATAGCATGATTTGTGTTTTTAGAATTCATCTTGAGATAGTGTGTTTTACTATATTGAGAAAGACTTTTAAGATCCAAACTAAGATTAGCTTGAAAGTTATCATAATTAATTGAGATAAATGTTTGAAACAGTTGTTATCGGCATATGTTTTGAATTTGAGGAAATTCGACCTCCTTAGATAAAGTTTACAAGAGATAATGCAGAGGGTCCAAGCAAGGTTACCCAAATGTGATATACCGATATTAGGTCAAACAAACTGCTGCCTATTATTTAAATAATACTGGAAAAAAGATAAATATCGATCGGTAAAATCAAAGTGCTTTTGTTAAGCACACAATAACTCATGATCCACGCGATCGAATGCCTTTTAAAAGTCAAGTAACATTTTTATTTATATTTTTAATATTAGAACTTGGCTGGTTTGATGGAATTATATTATTACTAGTTGCATACGACAGTATTAATGATCCCTACTCTAAACGTATGCAGTGATGTAGATAAAAGGGTTGCGATTAGCGCTGGGGAAAGTTAATCTAAATTTGGCATTTTCCATACAGAAAGCAATGTAAGTTGTCGAACAAGCATCTCATATTAACTGCTATCGTACTCTTTCTCGAGCGGTTTTCTTGAGATGATTATAATTTATTACACTCTTAAAGTGCGTCAAAAATGGATGGAATAGAGTAGGAGCAAAAATAAATAACTGCAAGGTTTTGAAATGCACTAGTTTCAACGACTTACGATTTTACAATAACAGTCTGAATGTCACTGTAACAATAAGCAAAACGCTAATAATAACATTAGTTTTTCTACTTCTTTCTTTAAAATACCTACCGATCTAGCGTGCGAAAAGTGTCATTTTAATACGTTAGTGAAGTTTCCCACAGATCTGAGCCACTTCGGATATTTGTCTGACCTTACCGCACGGGTTTGTATTAT